GAGCTGCAGTGTTAGAGAAGAATAATGAAAGCTCCACGGACTGCCAAAATAACAAACAGATCTGTGTTGGAAAAAGTACAGCCAGAGTGTTCCTTAGAAGCTAGGATGGCCAGACTTCCTCTCTCATACTTTGGACATATTATCAGGAGGAGCCAGTCCTTGGAGAAGGATATCATGTTTGGTAAAGTGGAGGATCAGTGAAAAAGAGGAAGACCCCCAACAAGATGGATTGGCACAGTGGCAGCAGCAATGGGCTCAAATTTAACAAGGATTGTGAGATTGGAATGGCACAGGACAGGGTAGTGTTTAGCTCTGTTGTGCACAGGGTTACTGTGAGTCAGAAGCAACTTGAAGGCACCTAACAACAGTCAGTATTTCTGGATGTGTGTTTTTATTAGATGCTGTTGAATTGGTTTAAACTCAGTGATCTTGTGTACAGCAGGATGAAACACTTCCTGGTCCTGCAGCATCCTCCCAAGCATTGCTATGTTTGAACCCATTCTTGGAATCTTTGAGCACTCAGATCTATTTTGTTGAGGGTCTTCCTCTTTTTCACTAGACTTCTCCTTTACCAAGCAAGGTACCCCTTTCCAGGGACTGATTCCTACTGATAACATGTCCAAAGTAAGTAAGACAAAGTCTCACCAACCTCACTTCTAAGGAGCATTCTGGATTTACTTTTTCCAAGACAGATTTGTTTATTCTTCCTCCAACCGTGATAGTGTGTTCTTCATATTGTCCAACTTCTTGGATTATTTGCCCAGCCTACATATTGAATCAGTATAGTTAAAGGATACAACTCAACACCTTTCCTAATTTTAAACCCTTGTTCTGTTTGAATGACTGCCTCTTCGTCTACATATTGATCCCAATTGAGTACAGTTAAGTGTTCTGGAATTCCTGTTCTTTGCAGTGTTACCCATAATCATAGATTTCTGTATGTAAACAAGTGCATCTAACATGTTTAATATGAACCTGAGTTCACACTGCTACCTCTGACACGGATCCATTATTTTATGGACCATTCTTGCCTTTGCCCCTTGCAGCCTGTAAACTTACGCTCCAGCAGTGGGAACCCTGACTCTCAGCATCTGCCAGGCATTTTCTTTATTATTCGATTTCCGTATGCATGTTGATCAGGGCCAGATTGTTCATTGGAATCCCACGGAAGTACAGTTTGTTTTATTTTTTGCCTTTCTTTCTACAAATTCCACTCATTTCCATGGTTATTTAGGTCAGCACCTTCACCTACCCCTTTAGTGTGAGTTATTACTTTTTTTCATATATTTGTAATACAGTTACATTGTTTTACCATATTCTGCAGTCAATCTTGAGATCTCCAGATCTAAATGTTTTGAAAATTTAATTCACATACATTGTTTCCTCTTTATATTATATATGACTTTTAAGAAATGTATACATCACCTATTCACAATTTCAGTATCCCACAGGATAGTTTTTTTTTTTTTTTTAATGTTTTATTGTGAATTATGTGATAGTTTACATGGGAGAACATTAGCTTTACATTCATCCTATTGTATATGTTGTTTCTTGCGATGGTTACAATCCCCTCCATTCATCATCAACCAACCAAAGGGTATATATACCCTGCAAGCGTAACCCCAGTTATCAGCACTCAGCCCCTCTCCCTCTCTGGGTCTACAGTCCCCAGCCGCTCCATCTCTCCACGTCGTGGGCTCTGCCTCCATCTCTGGCATCACCGCTTCTCTGGGTAGGGTCCCACACTCCACTCTTCTCCCTTGATGGTCCCAGGGACCTCTGCTCCTAGACTGCAGTCAGTCACTCCCTTCCATTTGCTGTAAAACATCTACCTTTACATTTCCAACCCTCATAATCAGTCCTAATAACATTCATTCACTACTGTATCACAAGAGACATATCTGCATCTCCTTTCATCAGTCCCACCCAGACAGATTGGATACTACTCAGTGGAGAGTGTACCTTCCTCCGCACCCTCTGGGTCTAGGCTCCCTCTTGAAAACTTGTAAGCCAGTCACTTCTTGCCTTTGTAGCCCCCCGCGCCCCTCTACCCCCATTTTGGGTAGCCAATGTCCAAGTTGCACATCCCTGTCTACTCTTTGTATGGAGGGGGTGGGATGATACTCACTGTAAAGATTTGTTCCCTCTTTTGAGCCCTCTGTTTGCCCTGAGGGGACCCGACCACTTGCCTTGATGTCTCCTGGGCGAGCAACTTGCTTATTTTTGTAGTAATCAGTTGGTAGGATTTTTTTTTAAGTTTTTATTGTGAATTATGTGTCAGTTTACATGGGTGAACATTATCTTTACATTCATCCTATCGTATTTTGTTTGTTGCAATGATTACAATCCCCTGCATGCATTATCAAACAACCAAAGGGTACAA